GCCCAGCTCCCTCAGCCTTTCCTCCTAGGGGAGATGCTCCAGTCCCTTTATCATCCTAGTTCCCCTCCTCTGGGCTCTCTCCAGGAGTTCCTCATCTTTCTTGAACTGGGGAGCCCAGAACTGGACACAGAGCTCCAGATGGGATCTCAGCAGGGCAGAGCAGAGGGGGAGGAGAACCTCCCTCACCCGGCTGGCCACGCTCCCCTTAATGCACCCCAGGATACCATTAAGGACACACGCCAGACAGGGCTACATGCCACCAAGGCCAGAGGAGCGGTCCTGACCTGTTTTATTTACCAGCCTACACACAGCTCGTGCAGGGAGCAACCCCAATGCAATGTTTCAGCAGCGTCCTTCTGGCTACCTTCAAAGATTGCCTCTCAAGGCCATGGGCGCGCTTGGAGTTTCTCCCCCCTGCTCAGAAAGCTGCTGCAGGTGGAAACCTGGACTGGCTTCAGACAAGCCCTTTGTGGGATAAAAACCATTTGGGGAGCAAAATTTAGCCTGAGACTGCACTGCAGTCACAGATGGGCCGCCACGGACTTTGACAGGGCCAGGAGCAGCAGCAGGGCATTAACAGCGTTTGCAAGAGCAGTGCGTGTCTGTGTTGCTCTTTAGAGAGCAGCAATGATTAAAGCACCTTCTCGGGGGCCTGGGCCAGGGTCAGCACGGCAGGAGGGTCCGAACAATGAAAGGCAACGTGGTTCCTGGAGAGCTAACTGAGAAGGAGGGACAAAGCAGGAGTCCCCCCGCGGAGCCGGGCTCATACTGTACCGCTTCGGGTGGTGGTAAGAGGGTTGTTGTGAAATGTCAGCTCCTTCAGGCATGGGAAGAAAGCCACGGGTAAGAGAGCTGTCTCCTCTGCGATCTGCAAGATAAAATAGTTTACTGTTTGCTCTAAGCCTGCGAGTATTGAGGGCAGCGGCAGCGCTCCTCTCTCCCTCCTGACTGCTGCAGAGAGGGACTGGTGCCTCCAACGCTTAGAAGAGCTTCAGGGTGAGAGGCAGGAGTTTTTTCCAGCTCAGAAGACTCCTGCTCTTCTGAGCAGGAAAAAACTCCGGCCTCTCCACCCTGCAGTCCAAACCACAGCCTGGCCAGGGCACGGCAGCCAGAAACCAGCTCACCGACAAGGCAGTGACCCAAAACAGAGTGACGACACGTGGGGAACGGCAGCAGAGCTCACTTTGCAAGCAAGCAGAGCCACACCATCACGTCCCAGGGGAATGCCCCTTGCTGAGCAGAGGTAACTCGGCACTGCCAGCTCACCGGGCTGGGAAGCAGCGTGAGTTAAGCCCTGGGCAGGAGCCAAAAGCACCGGGAAGAGGAGCTTAAATGTTGATGCATGTTCCTTGTCCATCGGGGCACACTGAGGACCCGATGTGGCTCAGCAGACAGGTATAACCTGGCATTAAAACAGCAAAGTCCTCGATGAGACGTCACCATCCACTGGGCAGCTCCATCAAAGGATCAGTCCAGGGGGGACGGCAACCCTTCATATATTCTCTGATGAAATCCCCAAATTTGCAGAGGTTTAGGTGAGCTGGGTGCAATTCAGCTGCCTAAATAGGCGTCCTGTCCCACCTGAGACATCCTGGCTATCTGACACATCCCTGCAGCCTGGCAGAAGGACACAGGAGCCAGGGAGAGCTGTGCCCTTCTGCAGTGGCAGCTAAAGGCCAAGGGTGTCTCCCAGGGAACTGAGGCCGGGCTCAAGCAGCTGAATCTTTACACTTATCCGGAGCCACAGGGCCCAAATCACCTTGTTGAAGGCCAGGCTGAGATGCTTCAGTTCAGGAAAGGGAGCACAAATGTCCCTGCGTGTGGAGGGAGCCAGCAGAGTCTTCGAGCCAGATGGTTCTCCCTCCCTAGGAACAACCTGAAAAAGAGAGGGAAGAATGTGAGCAAAAGTTCTAATAAAAATCAGCATCTTTGGCTTCATACATCTGATTCCGAAGAATGTCATGTAAATAAATGTGGGGGAGAAGATTACAGTGCTTACAGAATGAACTCCCAGCTCCTGAGCTTCAGTCCCCACCTGAGCTGCAGAACACACTTCCCCTTGCAGGGAGGGCACACGGTCACGAGCAAACAGCAGCCCATCTTTTATTTGAAAGTGATTTAAGTTTAAGCTCCACTGCCCTTTGGTTATGGGAAAATTTGCTCCTGACCTCCCTGATGAGAGCCAATACTCACTGCAAGCCTTGTAGGCATCCAGAGTCCCAGCCATACCCATGGGGTTATTGAAACTCAGCCAAGAGGCTTGGGGAAGGGAAGTTTTGGAGCTCACACCCCTCATCACAGATCAGCCGACGGTTCTTACCAGCACTGGGTGTTCTTGGGAGCCGGAATTGAAAACCACCTCTGCAATGAAACACAAGCAGAGTGAGGGTTTCTATGCAAATCTGAGCGTTGGGCCAGCCCCAGCTGTGGCAAGGCTGGAATTACCCTGGAAAAGCAAATCAGCATCAGGCAGGGTCTGGCTCAGTGGCAAGACATGCCCAAGTTGAGGGGGATCAGGCTCACTTGCTGCCAGCCCCATTGCTCCAGGTGAGGTCCACATCCCCCAAACACAGCAGGAACCCTGCTACCAGCCTCACAGAATCACAGAATCGCAAGGGCAGCCAGGAGTTCCCCGCAGGTAGATTTTGTTTTGGGGTCTCACCTGTGAGCACCAGGCCTTTCCCACATCTTGCTGCTACCGCCAGGCCAGCACCAGAAGTTGTGCCGTTGCCTGCTCCACAGATACCTAACAGTAGGGACTGCGGCAGTGAGCCAGGGGACAGGAGAAGTGCTTGGAGAGCCCCACCAGCAGCCCCCATCACATCCCAGTCCACACAGGTGACACCAGGCAGGCTTGGGATCCATTCCACCGCATGGCCCAGCATGGTGGGAGCACCACCCTTCAATAAGGACATTCAGAGGGGAGAGCTGACCTACCCCAGGGATGCAGCCCTGCGCGTGGGCTACCTACCCACACAACCCACAAAGGACGGGATGGCATCCAGAGAGACCTGGACAGGCTGGAGAGGTGGGCCTGTGTGAACATCATGAGGTTCAACAAGGCCAAGTGCAAGGTCCTGCACCTGGGTCAGGGTAACCCCCAGTATCAATACAGGCTGGGGGAAGAAAGGATGGAGAGCAGCCCTGCCCAGAGGGACTTGGGGGTGCTGGGGGATGAAAAGCTGGACATGAGCCGGAAATGTGCAGAAGGCCAACCGTACTCTGGGTGCATCAAGAGAAGCGTGGCCAGTGGGGCAAGGGAGGGGATTCTGCCCCTCTGCTCTGCTCTGGGGAGACCTCCCCTGGAGCCCTGCGTCCAGCTCTGGAGCCCTCAGCACAAGGAGGACATGGACCTGTTGGAGCGGGGCCAGGGGAGGGCTACTAAAATGAT